CTACTTCCGTAGTGATACTGCCTCGGAAACCCAAGGAGGGGTCGCTATGAGTCAGGTCTGACTCGACGGCACATAACAACAACAACAACAACAACTGCATTTAGGGAGCTCTGGTGGCGTAGTGCCTAAGGCACTTGACTGCTAACCAGAAGGCTAGTGGTTCAAACCCACCAGCCACTCCTCGGAAGGAAGATGAGGCAATCTACTTCTGTAGGCACACAAACAACAACAACTGTATTTAAGGTGTAATTAAGGTATATTTAAGCCCTAATTCCCAGTACCTGTGAATGTGACCTTATTGGAAATAACAGTCTTTGTAGATGAAATGATTTAACATGAGGTCATACTAGAGTAGAAAACCAAACTGACTGCTGCCAAGTCGATTGTGACCCCCTCCTTGGGTTTCCAAGCTGGTATCTCTATGGAAGTAGATTGCCCAATCTGCCTTCTGAGGAGTGAATGGTGGGTTTGAACCGCCAGCCTTCTGGTTAGCAGTCAAGTGCCTTAGACACTACGCCACCAGAGCTCCTATGCTAGAGTAGGGTGGGCCCTAATCCAATGATTGATATGCTTATATAAAGAGAGCTAGAAAAACAGACAGACATAGAAGAAACTCTGTCTCCAATATGAAGAGATTAGAGTTATGATGTCATAAACCAAGGCACACCTGGGCTACGAGAAATTGGACCGGACAAGGAAAAATCTTCCTCTAGACTCTTCAGAGAGAGCATGGTCCTGGCAACACTCCAAATTCAGACTCCCAGTCTCCAGAACTGTGAAAGAATACGTTTCTGTTGTTTGAAGCTACCTAGCATGTGGTTCTTTGTTACAGCAGTCCCAGGGAATGAATGCAGCTTCAAATGTGATCTGTGCTACAGCTGCCAGTCTTGAGAATCTTTCATTAATTAGCCTAATCCACTTTGAGGAAGCCAGCCTAGCTTGGTGATTAAGAACACAGGCTGCTTCAGTTTTTAAGTCAGACTATGTGAAGATGAGCGAGTTACTTCTCTGTATCTCAATGGGCTGCTATGTGGATTAAAGAAAAGTACAAAACAGTGGCTGGCGACAAAGTAAGTACTAAATAAATGCTAGCTACTAATCTGGCTCAGTGCATAATAAGAATCATTAAAGCAGGTCTTTCAAATTAACAGAAGTTTTAAAAATAGGATCTTAAGAATGTGTCAACTTGATTATGTCAGATATCAAGCTAACTCTGTTAGAATTAAAATGTTCTTTTTCTTTTATAGGGACGCCAATGCAGTAATCATATTTATCCTTCCTAAAGTAAGACTTTTTCAATACCTTTCTATCCTAAAAATTAAACAACTCAATTCATTACTATACTTTTATGTCGAACAATATACTAGTATAATTTAGATAATTTTAGAATTCACGCAGCTTCAATTATATACCACTTATTAACAAGACAAATTTGGGTAAACAATTATATTGAAACTTACTAATTTTATATAGTTCGTTAAAATGTGCTAGGTTCCAATACAATGCTGCTTAGAAGAACTAACGTGACTGAACCAAGACTAGCAAAGTTCTCTATAAATATCCTCTCATCTTTTCTTACTTTTTAAATAAAAGCTTTGAAATACAATTGACACACCATAAAATTCACCCTTTAAAGTATATAGTTCATTGGTTTCAGTGTATTCATAGAGTTGTACAACCACTACCACTATCTAATTCCAAAATATTTTCATCATTCCCAAAAGAATTCGAGCTAAAAAAAAAGCAAACAAACAAAACTTACACACATCACTGTCAAACTGCAGAAAATCAAAAACAAAATCTTGAAGGCAGAGGAAAAGGAAACATCATAAAGTAGTATTCAGGAACAAGGAATTAAAGCAGACTTCGTGTTAGAAATTATATAAGCTAAAAGACAAGAGACAGAATTCTAAACCTACCAAAAAGATCTTCCAGAAATGATGGAGAAATAAAGACTTTTTCAGACAAAAAACAAGAAAACTGTCTGCAGACCTTCTAGTGTTAAAGGAAGTTCACCAGGCAAAATGATGATATCAGATGATCCACACAAAGTAGTGAAGAGCACCAGAATTTGTGAAAATGGGGGTAAATAAGACATTTTTTTTCTCACTTTAAAGGAGTTCTGGTGGCACAGTGACTAAATCATTTGACCGCTAACCAG